TTGCCGATCAAAGTCGAGCCAGCAATAACTGGTAGCGATCCACGGAGCGTTGCAGGCGTCCATGGTGCGAAGACCTTGAATCATCATGACAAGGTCACTACCCGACTCGTAGTGAACGCGCCTCCCATACATCGGCATATAAGAAACCAGCGGATTCAAGGTGGAGTAGTCGGTCAAATCGGCAAACGCCAGACGGTCCAGGCGCGTCGCTCGCTGCATTACTTTTAGGCCAAGCTGTCCATGGAACCAGTTGGAAAGAAATGTCTGCGCCCCCGTGGTGTTGTACGTGGGCCACCAAAGATCGTTGGCCAAATTCACAGTCGAGAGCTCGAGGTACGAGACACTGCCGATGACACTCGCAACGAGGTAGAGAAGACCAAACAAGATTTTCAGCCGATCGAGAAAGCGCACTTGGACCGCGAGTGATATGGCAAGTGCTGGTGCGCGGCGGTGGCCCCCAATGTCAAAGACAGGACCGACGTCGTCAACATAAAAGACGCTTCAGAGCTTAGTGTCAAAGATGTACTGCCGGCAGCCAAAGCGAGTGCGAAGGAAACCACACAGGACCGCCGTCGACCCGTCCATGGACCAAATATCCCCTTTTGGCACCACGAAAACGTCAGCGCCGGCCGAGACCAAGTACGGTGTCTTGGTGGCTTGTACACCAGAGCGCTGGCGATTCCGAAGCTGAATCACCCATGCCATGATGTACGAGGCCAGTACCAAAACTGTATTGATGCCCAAAATAAGCCATGCGCGACCACGAGATCCGAGGCTGACGACGCCACTGTGACATATGGCACCAGCATCCATACGAACACGCGCGCAGTCCCGATGAATCGAAGCGGTGGCTCGAATCGGGTAGAAGACTTCGAGGATGACAAGACTTACCCAGACCATCCAGGCGCTAAGCGGCGCTGCCAACCGCGAGTGTCGGCGAGCAACGACGAGCAAAATGTCGTTGATGATGTACGTTACCCACGTGGCTTCGCCTGCGAGAATCCCAATGTGCGCTAGCGGACGAGGTGCAAACTGAAAGCGAGCAATATTGTCTTCATTGAGAA